TATATATATATATATATATATATATAAGTTGTATTTTATATATTTTATATAGATTTATTTTTTGGTACTCTAACCGTATATATATAATATTATCTATTCAGAATAATTAAAAAAAATAGGATATTAATATTCCTTTAGTTCAACTATTTGTATTGGTATAGGGATGTTTGATTTGAAATAAAAAGTTTATAGATTATGTGTTATTAAGTGAACCTTAGATCTTTTGTTTGATATCAATGTATAGCTTTGTGTAGTACAGCTTAAACTTAAATTGTCCCTCATTTTCTTCATATGAAAACTAAGAGGTAGTAGTGACAGTTATTATATTGAATAGTTAAAAAATTTGAGAAAATTAATCACTTTTTAATATTTTATTAATACATATGATTCGATATGTATTATATATATTTCAAAAAATTTAGTTAATTGTATTTTATGTTTATCTTTGGAGAAATATTTAATTGTTGTTGATTTCATCTTATTATTTTAATTTTTATCTCATAAAAATTATTGTATAATGTAGTCGAAATTTTAGAAAATATAAGAGATGATGATTAAGGAAGAGTTATGATGTGTATATATTTTGTTTAGCAGCTGATAGAAGAGGATGAGAGAAAAAAAAAGGTGAAGGAAACGTATTTATAGGTTGTTTTGAAAGAGATGGTTGAGACGGAGGCATGTGTTTTTCATCTAAGTAAGTGTGTCTGCGGTTGAACTCTTCTCTTCTTTCTTCCGTCAAGGTTATTTTTAGTGTTTGATTATAGAAAAATTAGAATAACATATTGACCATTTGCAGAAGAGTAAACTATGGTTAAGTGTGGCTGAATATATCTGCATCTGAACGTGGCATTTAATTACTACAATTTGACAAAAGGTGTTCACATTTTGATAGTCACTGCCAATAGCATATTGCTTTCCTTCAAACTTTTTGGTGTCTAAAAGCCGCGGTGAAAAATATGTTTTCAAACTTATTAATTAACTCAAAATTTGTATTTATTTATGAAATAATGTGTTTTTCTCATTGAAAAATTATAATTAAGAGTAGGAAAATATGTAGTAAATTGTACAGGAATTTATATATCAAAGTGGAGTGCTATCAGATGTTTCTTGCTAAGCCAGCATTAAATCGCTCAGTTAAATAGAGTTTTATTGGCGCACCAGCACAACTCGTTAAGCGAATAAAGGACAATTAAATATATATTGCAGTTGAATATTCGCTTAGCGCATAAAGAGTTGTGCGCTTAGCGAATTAGTTATTTTTTCAATTGGCTTTTAAAGTGGGAAATAGACACAAAGAAAGGAGAGAAGTTTCGGACAGAGGAAAGAAACAAAAACATCTCAGGAACTTCAGGAGACTACTTCAAGGCATCAAGACACCATTGTTGCAAGGGATTGCTTCAAATGTGTACGTTCTATAGATTACTAGGAATAGTTAAATTTTTCTTTCATTGGAATTGGATGTAATGAACTCACCCTGATGTAATTTTCCTGTTCAATATATCGTTGTTTGTTCATATGCTCTTTCTTGAATTTACTATCATTGTATGGAAATATAAATTCATAAAAATATTTACTATTGAAATGTTAACTTTTATATTGTTCATTCATATTATTTAGGTTAAATGATTTCATTTGTTGTTTAATTTTACGGAATTTTTTTAGATGAGTTTCTTTATTTTTATTTGTCTCAATTTAATTTTTGTTTTAAAAACTTTAGGTTTAATCATTTAGAACATCCCTATTTCTGTAGGGTTTTATCAATTAGGTCCTCGTATTGTAAAATCTCTCAATTAGGTCCTTGAATGTCAAAAATTGGATCAATTTAGGGCTTGCCGTTAATTTGGGTGGACTGCGTTAAAAAATGTTGTGCATGGCAGGGTGATATTACTAAGTTTCACTGACGTGGCACACATTGGTCAGTGAGTTGGCTTTCTTTTATTTACATATTTAAAAAACTTGAATGAAATCAAAACGCAACGTTGCAAAAAAAACGCAACACTCGTGGCATGGCTGCACCCATCAGCGCCACTCGCACAGCCATCATCAACCATCGCGGGAAGCCAGAAAAACCATCCTCAACCACCACGGGAACCCAGAACAGCGAGAAAGGACCCTCAACGCAAAAAAAAAAAACAATGCAGAAAGGAAGAACCCAAAACGAAACATCAAGAACACAAGAAATTCCCATAACTCAAACTCATATTCCAATTTGAAACCCCCAAAATCATAGAACAGACAAAACCCTAAATCGCAGGATCCAAAATCCCAAATTCACAATTTCAGAAACCCTAACCCCAATGTTGCAAAAGAAGAACTCCAATTCGTGTTCCAATCTACAGAAAAGAAAGTAAAAGCAACCCCCAAATCGCGAGCCCAAACACGTTCTCCCTTCGCCGCGAAGACACTGGAGGGCGAGATCCTCGCGTCGCGAAACGTCGTGCTTGAGCCCCTTGAAACTCGTCTCTCTTTCCCTGTAAGAAAACCCCAAACAGAACCCAGGACGGGGAAAGGAGAAAGAAAGGAACGAACAACGCGCCATCACGATCTACCCGGAGAATACGAAGACGCTGTCGGGTCGCACTCTCTCCACGCTATCATCGTCACTGCCATTTGTCCCAGCACAAAACGCAGAAGCCCTCTTCTCCTTGCAGGACGAACTAGAGTAGAGGAGAGAAAGGAAAACATTGTCTCCCTCTATAAGACGAATAGAACGCAATGAAATAAGAACGTTGCGTTTTAATTTTCATTGAAGTTTTTTAAATATGTAAATAAAAGAAAGCCAGCTCAGCGACCAATGTGTGCCATGTCACTCTGTCACACATGACATTTTTTAACGTCGTCCACCCAAATTAACGGCAAGCCCTAAATTGATCCAATTTTTCACATTCAGAGACCTAATTGAGAGATTTTACAATACAAGGACCTAATTGAGAAAACCCTACAGAAATAGGGATGTCCTAAATGATTAAACCAAAACTTTAATGGAACTAAGTTATTTTCTTTAGTACTATATAAATAAAAATGTGTCATTAGTTCATAAGTTTTTATTTTTCTAATAAAAAATATCAATTTGTATAATTTTTTTTGTAAACTTTTTTATACAAATTAATTTTTATTTGAATTTGGACAGAAACAAAATTGTTTAATTTTAAAAAAAATTAGGACTAAATTGAAACAAAATAAAAATATAGGAATCAAATTGAAACAAAATAAAAATATCGGGACCAAATTAAGACATACAATGACACGTAGTCTGACGGTGACATGTAACACTGTCAGTGCCACCTCATACTGTCATTGTCATGTGACAATTTTATTTTATTTTAAAAAAAAAATCACAAGCTTACACGTGTCATCCTCTTTAAGGATATTAGTATGAAATTATCAGTAAAAACCTAATTGTTTATTTTTTCAAAGAGAGGAACCCAATTGAGACAAAAAAAATGAAAGATTTATTTGAGAAAAATCACCGAAAATAAAAACTATAAGAATGATTAAACCATTCCTTAAATTACAAAAATACATTTAATTTTTCTTAACTAAAAGTTATATCTAGTTTTATTTATCGAAAATAACAATAGCTTTGAAAAAAACCAATTCTAAATCTTATGGATTGATAGTTGAAGCTCTTTGTTATGGTTACTATTGAAATATGTGGGGTCAAAAGTAAGATTTTTTTCATAATTGCAAAATGACTCTATGTTAGTGAAGGATTTTAGCATAATCTGATAAAGATAGATAAATATGTGTAATATTTTTTTTTTAAAGTTTCTAAAAGAGAGTAGAAAATGTGCTAATTGTTTAACAAGTATTGAGTGAAATTTAAAAAAAAAAAAGTTGTTTAGTTTGAATCATTTCCCTTTTTATTAGTCAAATAATTTTTTCAGAAATAGGTTTATTCGGTCTTAATATAGTTTTTTTACAATTACACAAATTTAAGTTTTGATCTGATTTTCATTTATTTATATTGTTTCCTTTTTTTCTATATACAATATCCTCAAACGGAAATTATTTTTCGTTATGATATTTTCTAGAATGATAACTTTTATTAAATATTTGAATATATTAAATGTATATTTTAATTAAACAATTACTAGTAATAAATGACAGCTTAATAACATCATATTCAGAAAATATCAATTAAACAATTCGTCTTAATAAATGTTATTTAAATTTTATTTCCAATGAACAATTTGTATGTAGTAAAGAAAGTGAACATAATAACTTTTTGAAAATCTTGTAAGTTAGGTTCCACGCATTTAATCTGGGACAAGATCCAATGTCTGAGATTGATTCTTCTTCATTTGCTTCTTGCTCTCACCGCAGAGAATCCCCTCACACGTTAAAGGAGGTGGTTGTGCTATATGTAGGAGCGTGCAAGACAAAAGCTTGTACTATTTATGAACAAGTTCTCAACTTTGTTTGAGAAAAAATTTCTTGAATATGGCTGCCACATTCTTCTCTCAATCGCTTCTTCAATCCAACAATCTTTCTCCTTCTTGTCTCTCTCCTCGCATCCCTCATTCTCTGGCTAGCCGTGTCAAACCCTCCTGCCTCGGTGAGTGACCCAACATCGTTTTTTCTTTGAGATTTTCTTGATGAGTGTGTTCTGATGTGAAATTTTGGTTTTCTATGGCAGGGGTGGTTTCTGTGAGCAAAAGGTTAAGTGGGGTGGTGCCCAATGCTGCTCTGAAAGCCTTGGAAACTAATTCGGATTTCCCCATTTCGGCTAAGAAGTCCATCGACAACCCCATTGTTGTTATTGATAACTATGACAGCTTTACCTATAATCTTTGCCAGGTTGGTTCATTCTTGATGTTTAGTGTGTGGTTCTTTGGTTTTGTCTGTAATCTTTGCAAGGTTCTTTCTTTGTATTTTTATTTTTGTGATGAAATTTGAGGAATTGCGGTGGAGCTGAATCCATTCTTGATCAGTTGTGTGGTGCCTTCTTGATATTGATTATGTGGTGGTTTTATCTATAATCTTTGCAAGTTTCATTTGATTTATTCCTTTTTGGTTTTGATTGATTCTCAAGATTGTTTCTTTTTTTTTAGTGCTTGATAACTGAAATAATGTACTTTACTCATTGTATTAGGTCAGAAAAGGTAGTGGTATTGTTTGTATTTGACTGATAATCCCTTCCCTTTTATGTGTGCTGAAATTCCTGATAGTTAATGAATTTGAAGAAATGTAGAAGACCTATATCCATTATTAATTATTAATGTGATTCTTACTGGTGTTGGTTTGTTCTCAGGATTGATTCTCTTTTATTTTGTAATATTTGATGATTAACATCATACAGTTTTCTCACCGTGTTACTCTGAGAAGGAGTGTTGATTGTATTTTTATGCAACTTTCTTTGTGTGTCCATTTGTGTGATTTCTTCATGATGTTGGTTCGTACTCTCTTGGTTGTATATGTGTGTTTAGGAGTTGATGAATTTGCAGAATTGTAGAAAACCTAAATCTCTTTAGTAGAAGTCTTGGGAGTCATTTTAAATGGTTCAAATTTGTGAAACTTGTTGGGATGAAAGCAGTGATTTAAATTAGTGGCATCATCTGTGAAATAAGCAGCACAAAAATTTTTCTAATTTCAAACACAATCTGAAAATATTACATTGAAGTTTTTTGCTCTAGTTTCGGTCCTCCTGCAATGAAGGTTTAAGAAAATATTTAAAATGGATTTCCATAACAGGTTAGTTTATTTCAGAAAATATGGAAATCTGGAAATTGAATCAAGTCATTTATTCCCTAAACTGTTGGAAATGGAACTGAAATTCCCTCATCCTTGCCCTCTTTTTCTGCAAACTGGATGAAACTTTATCCAATGAGCTATAACAAGTTTGACATTTTACCCTCTCTGTTTTTGAGAAATATGCAATTAGGAAAATATATGAGAGATCTGTGTAGAATCTGTTGTTGTACATGTGCATATGGTTTACAAAGTGGCTATTCTAACATTGTATGATTTACATATGAAGTATATGGGAGAGTTAGGATTTCACTTTGAGGTCTACCGCAATGATGAGTTGACAGTGGAGGAGTTGAAAAGGTAAAATAATTTTTGCTGCTTATACGTGCCTAACAGTTTCTTATTGATGAAGCAGTTTGTAGGATACTACATGATCTTTAATCCTGGTGTAAAAGACTAACTATGCATGTTTTTTTCTTTTGCATAGGAAAAATCCTAGAGGAGTGCTAATATCACCTGGGCCAGGTAAGGCTTGGATTTTTTTGAGCTTTTTGTTCTTTTTAATTTCTGAATCAACAATGCTTATGATCAATGTTTCATAACTGTAAACAAAAAGAAATAATAGAATAAACACAATCACTTACATTGTTTCATCTTACAGGGGAACCTCAAGATTCTGGCATATCTTTGCAAACAGTTTTGGAACTTGGACCAACTGTACCATTGTTTGGTGTGTGCATGGGTTTGCAGTGCATTGGTGAGGCTTATGGAGGTGAGTTCGAGTTCGATTAATGGATGCCTTTAAATCCCTTTATGCACATACACAGTAGTTGTATAAAAATGAGTATGTCATTCATTGTTAATCTGACTTTCATTTTTAATTGCATTTAGATCTTTACCATATAATCTCCCTTTATTAACCTCATTTCTTCCTTTCTGCTGTCAAAACTTTCTCATGTTATCATATGCAGGAAAGATTGTTCGTTCTCCTTATGGTGTCATGCATGGAAAAAGTACCTTGGTTTATTATGATGAGCAAGGAGAAGATGGAGTACTTGCTGGACTGTCAAAGTAAGGTTTCTGCTTCCGATTTATTTATGATCAGCAGCAGCATTCTCTTTACTTTCAAGTTTCAACTGTGATCTGACATAATTTTACTCCATTTAATTTGTATTATTTTNTTTAGATGAGTTTCTTTATTTTTATTTGTCTCAATTTAATTTTTGTTTTAAAAACTTTAGGTTTAATCATTTAGAACATCCCTATTTCTGTAGGGTTTTATCAATTAGGTCCTCGTATTGTAAAATCTCTCAATTAGGTCCTTGAATGTCAAAAATTGGATCAATTTAGGGCTTGCCGTTAATTTGGGTGGACTGCGTTAAAAAATGTTGTGCATGGCAGGGTGATATTACTAAGTTTCACTGACGTGGCACACATTGGTCAGTGAGTTGGCTTTCTTTTATTTACATATTTAAAAAACTTGAATGAAATCAAAACGCAACGTTGCAAAAAAAACGCAACACTCGTGGCATGGCTGCACCCATCAGCGCCACTCGCACAGCCATCATCAACCATCGCGGGAAGCCAGAAAAACCATCCTCAACCACCACGGGAACCCAGAACAGCGAGAAAGGACCCTCAACGCAAAAAAAAAAAACAATGCAGAAAGGAAGAACCCAAAACGAAACATCAAGAACACAAGAAATTCCCATAACTCAAACTCATATTCCAATTTGAAACCCCCAAAATCATAGAACAGACAAAACCCTAAATCGCAGGATCCAAAATCCCAAATTCACAATTTCAGAAACCCTAACCCCAATGTTGCAAAAGAAGAACTCCAATTCGTGTTCCAATCTACAGAAAAGAAAGTAAAAGCAACCCCCAAATCGCGAGCCCAAACACGTTCTCCCTTCGCCGCGAAGACACTGGAGGGCGAGATCCTCGCGTCGCGAAACGTCGTGCTTGAGCCCCTTGAAACTCGTCTCTCTTTCCCTGTAAGAAAACCCCAAACAGAACCCAGGACGGGGAAAGGAGAAAGAAAGGAACGAACAACGCGCCATCACGATCTACCCGGAGAATACGAAGACGCTGTCGGGTCGCACTCTCTCCACGCTATCATCGTCACTGCCATTTGTCCCAGCACAAAACGCAGAAGCCCTCTTCTCCTTGCAGGACGAACTAGAGTAGAGGAGAGAAAGGAAAACATTGTCTCCCTCTATAAGACGAATAGAACGCAATGAAATAAGAACGTTGCGTTTTAATTTTCATTGAAGTTTTTTAAATATGTAAATAAAAGAAAGCCAGCTCAGCGACCAATGTGTGCCATGTCACTCTGTCACACATGACATTTTTTAACGTCGTCCACCCAAATTAACGGCAAGCCCTAAATTGATCCAATTTTTCACATTCAGAGACCTAATTGAGAGATTTTACAATACAAGGACCTAATTGAGAAAACCCTACAGAAATAGGGATGTCCTAAATGATTAAACCAAAACTTTAATGGAACTAAGTTATTTTCTTTAGTACTATATAAATAAAAATGTGTCATTAGTTCATAAGTTTTTATTTTTCTAATAAAAAATATCAATTTGTATAATTTTTTTTGTAAACTTTTTTATACAAATTAATTTTTATTTGAATTTGGACAGAAACAAAATTGTTTAATTTTAAAAAAAATTAGGACTAAATTGAAACAAAATAAAAATATAGGAATCAAATTGAAACAAAATAAAAATATCGGGACCAAATTAAGACAAATACAATGACACGTAGTCTGACGGTGACATGTAACACTGTCAGTGCCACCTCATACTGTCATTGTCATGTGACAATTTTATTTTATTTTAAAAAAAAAATCACAAGCTTACACGTGTCATCCTCTTTAAGGATATTAGTATGAAATTATCAGTAAAAACCTAATTGTTTATTTTTTCAAAGAGAGGAACCCAATTGAGACAAAAAAAATGAAAGATTTATTTGAGAAAAATCACCGAAAATAAAAACTATAAGAATGATTAAACCATTCCTTAAATTACAAAAATACATTTAATTTTTCTTAACTAAAAGTTATATCTAGTTTTATTTATCGAAAATAACAATAGCTTTGAAAAAAACCAATTCTAAATCTTATGGATTGATAGTTGAAGCTCTTTGTTATGGTTACTATTGAAATATGTGGGGTCAAAAGTAAGATTTTTTTCATAATTGCAAAATGACTCTATGTTAGTGAAGGATTTTAGCATAATCTGATAAAGATAGATAAATATGTGTAATATTTTTTTTTTAAAGTTTCTAAAAGAGAGTAGAAAATGTGCTAATTGTTTAACAAGTATTGAGTGAAATTTTAAAAAAAAAAAGTTGTTTAGTTTGAATCATTTCCCTTTTTATTAGTCAAATAATTTTTTCAGAAATAGGTTTATTCGGTCTTAATATAGTTTTTTTACAATTACACAAATTTAAGTTTTGATCTGATTTTCATTTATTTATATTGTTTCCTTTTTTTCTATATACAATATCCTCAAACGGAAATTATTTTTCGTTATGATATTTTCTAGAATGATAACTTTTATTAAATATTTGAATATATTAAATGTATATTTTAATTAAACAATTACTAGTAATAAATGACAGCTTAATAACATCATATTCAGAAAATATCAATTAAACAATTCGTCTTAATAAATGTTATTTAAATTTTATTTCCAATGAACAATTTGTATGTAGTAAAGAAAGTGAACATAATAACTTTTTGAAAATCTTGTAAGTTAGGTTCCACGCATTTAATCTGGGACAAGATCCAATGTCTGAGATTGATTCTTCTTCATTTGCTTCTTGCTCTCACCGCAGAGAATCCCCTCACACGTTAAAGGAGGTGGTTGTGCTATATGTAGGAGCGTGCAAGACAAAAGCTTGTACTATTTATGAACAAGTTCTCAACTTTGTTTGAGAAAAAATTTCTTGAATATGGCTGCCACATTCTTCTCTCAATCGCTTCTTCAATCCAACAATCTTTCTCCTTCTTGTCTCTCTCCTCGCATCCCTCATTCTCTGGCTAGCCGTGTCAAACCCTCCTGCCTCGGTGAGTGACCCAACATCGTTTTTTCTTTGAGATTTTCTTGATGAGTGTGTTCTGATGTGAAATTTTGGTTTTCTATGGCAGGGGTGGTTTCTGTGAGCAAAAGGATAAGTGGGGTGGTGCCCAATGCTGCTCTGAAAGCCTTGGAAACTAATTCGGATTTCCCCATTTCGGCTAAGAAGTCCATCGACAACCCCATTGTTGTTATTGATAACTATGACAGCTTTACCTATAATCTTTGCCAGGTTGGTTCATTCTTGATGTTTAGTGTGTGGTTCTTTGGTTTTGTCTGTAATCTTTGCAAGGTTCTTTCTTTGTATTTTTATTTTTGTGATGAAATTTGAGGAATTGCGGTGGAGCTGAATCCATTCTTGATCAGTTGTGTGGTGCCTTCTTGATATTGATTATGTGGTGGTTTTATCTATAATCTTTGCAAGTTTCATTTGATTTATTCCTTTTTGGTTTTGATTGATTCTCAAGATTGTTTCTTTTTTTTTAGTGCTTGATAACTGAAATAATGTACTTTACTCATTGTATTAGGTCAGAAAAGGTAGTGGTATTGTTTGTATTTGACTGATAATCCCTTCCCTTTTATGTGTGCTGAAATTCCTGATAGTTAATGAATTTGAAGAAATGTAGAAGACCTATATCCATTATTAATTATTAATGTGATTCTTACTGGTGTTGGTTTGTTCTCAGGATTGATTCTCTTTTATTTTGTAATATTTGATGATTAACATCATACAGTTTTCTCACCGTGTTACTCTGAGAAGGAGTGTTGATTGTATTTTTATGCAACTTTCTTTGTGTGTCCATTTGTGTGATTTCTTCATGATGTTGGTTCGTACTCTCTTGGTTGTATATGTGTGTTTAGGAGTTGATGAATTTGCAGAATTGTAGAAAACCTAAATCTCTTTAGTAGAAGTCTTGGGAGTCATTTTAAATGGTTCAAATTTGTGAAACTTGTTGGGATGAAAGCAGTGATTTAAATTAGTGGCATCATCTGTGAAATAAGCAGCACAAAAATTTTTCTAATATCAAACACAATCTGAAAATATTACATTGAAGTTTTTTGATCTAGTTTCAGTCCTCCTGCAATGAAGGTTTAAGAAAATATTTAAAATGGATTTCCATAACAGGTTAGTTTATTTCAGAAAATATGGAAATCTGGAAATTGAATCAAGTCATTTATTCCCTAAACTGTTGGAAATGGAACTGAAATTCCCTCATCCTTGCCCTCTTTTTCTGCAAACTGGATGAAACTTTATCCAATGAGCAATAACAAGTTTGACATTTTACCCTCTCAGTTTATGAGAAATATGCAATTAGGAAAATATATGAGAGATCTGTGTAGAATCTGTTGTTGTACATGTGCATATGGTTTACAAAGTGGCTATTCTAACATTGTATGATTTACATATGAAGTATATGGGAGAGTTAGGATTTCACTTTGAGGTCTACCGCAATGATGAGTTGACAGTGGAGGAGTTGAAAAGGTAAAATAATTTTTGCTGCTTATACGTGCCTAACAGTTTCTTATTGATGAAGCAGTTTGTAGGATACTACATGATCTTTAATCCTGGTGTAAAAGACTAACTATGCATGTTTTTTTCTTTTGCATAGGAAAAATCCTAGAGGAGTGCTAATATCACCTGGGCCAGGTAAGGCTTGGATTTTTTTGAGATTTTTGTTCTTTTTAATTTCTGAATCAACAATGCTTATGATCAATGTTTCATAACTGTAAACAAAAAGAAATAATAGAATAAACACAATCACTTACATTGTTTCATCTTACAGGGGAACCTCAAGATTCTGGCATATCTTTGCAAACAGTTTTGGAACTTGGACCAACTGTACCATTGTTTGGTGTGTGCATGGGTTTGCAGTGCATTGGTGAGGCTTATGGAGGTGAGTTCGAGTTCGATTAATGGATGCCTTTAAATCCCTTTATGCACATACACAGTAGTTGTATAAAAATGAGTATGTCATTCATTGTTAATCCGACTTTCATTTTTAATTGTATTTAGATCTTTACCATATAATCTCCCTTTATTAACCTCATTTCTTCCTTTCTGCTGGGCCACTACAATAAGATCAAAACTTTCTCATGTTATCATATGCAAGAAAGATAGTTCGTTCTCCTTAAGGTGTCATGCATGGAAAAAGTACCTTGGTTTATTATGATGAGCAAGGAGAAGATGGAGTACTTGCTGGACTGTCAAAGTAAGGTTTCTGCTTCCGATTTATTTATGATCAGCAGCAGCATTCTCTTTACTTTCAAGTTTCAACTGTGATCTGACATAATTTTACTCCATTTAATTTGTATTATTTTCAGTCCTTTCTTGGCTGGTAGATATCACAGCCTTGTGATTGAGAAAGAGAGTTTTCCTGATGAACTTGAGGCAACTGCCTGGACAGAAGATGGTCTTATAATGGCTGCTCGCCATAAGAAATATAAGCATTTGCAGGTAAAATCTTAATCTTTCTTCAGAACTTGTCTTATTTAGCATCGAAATAAATGTTCTATCAATGTAAAGTAACTTGGTCTAAATGATTAAGTGTTCCAATAATACATGAAGGGAACATAAAAGGAATATGCTGATGTAAAGAGTAACTAGACTGTGATTATTGAATCTTGATGACTGATTTATGGGATTGAAGTATTCATATTGTAACTGTTAATTCCAGGTCTTCATTTAGGAGAAGATAAATTAACAACTTGATATTTCTCTAATGCAATCTAGGAAGAAATCTATTTTCCTTCCAAAAATAAAGAAATATAATGTAATCAGGTTCATTCTTGATATGGAGTTTAGTTGACATCATCTATCTGTTTGGCATGTGTTTTATTACTTTTTCCGTGTTATTATGAAGTAAATCAATGTAAATGTCAGTTTTCTCCTACAAATTCAGAAATTTAGAAATGTGAGAGTGATGCATATACCATGAATTGATAAGTTCTCTAATTAATAAACAAAATTCATCTAATTCATTTAATCAATATATTCTCATGTTTTGTTCTTATTGTATTTGAACTTACAACATGTCTCCCTTCTCTTCAGATATTGAAATCTAATTTTGTTTGAACTACAGGGAGTTCAGTTTCATCCGGAGAGCATCATAACTCCAGAAGGGAAGAAAATTGTCCAAAATTTTGTGAAGCTTATTGAGAGAATGGAGGGTGGTGGTTCTTAAAACAATATTTGATGTGTGGATAGTAGTTAAAATGTGCATTTTAAGTTCTGCAGAAAATAAATAAAGATAAAGATTATTAGTTAAAATCTTTATCAGTCACAGTTTAGAATGTGATAGTAAATCTTGTTAAGTTAAAAACCTCGACCTCATTAATTTATATAAAAGTTTGATTTTACTTTGTCACTGTCAGGGAAAAACGTTTTACTTTTTCATGTTGGAAAATGCATGGTTCACGAGAGAAAAGGTTCCACCTATTAGATATAGATGTGGTGGTGTGGTTAGTGAGCTTTGCATATGCAGTAGACGTGAAAGCTAAAAAAGTATATATGCTAGTAACATGGTAGAAGACATTTTTGGGATAAATATAAATCATAATGTGGGTCTGGTCGATTTACCAAATCACTAAAAATTATTATGAGTGTGTTAAAGAATAAAAGTAAAGTTAATATAATTTTTTTTTATATTACCTCATCAATTAAAGATATAAGTGTCAAAGTAAGCTACATATTGGTCCACTATGGATTAAGCTAAAATCGAGCTCAAATGGACTTTTTTTTTTTAATAAAAAATTTTGTAATATTGGATTAGTGAGTTAACTCTTTTAAAAATATTTTATTCTTTAATCTATTTTATATATTTATTGTAATACAATTAAAATGGATTATAATTTACTTCATTTCATTTGTTCATAGGAGTATAATTTATTTCGCCAAATATTATTATAACTTGACAAAAAAAAAATAAACTAAGCATGTAACCAATTTAAATATTATTTAATAAATTATAATAAAAACTTATAAAAAATATAGTAAAAAATTAATAAAAGGTTGTTGTTTATGGGTCAATTTACTTTAACCTGGTTCAAATCCATTTAACTTATGGATTTAGTGACTCGATTTCAATTTTACCCACATTTAATCAAACTAAAGTTTATCTAACCCAACTAGACTTAAACATGTGGTGA